ATTGTTTTTGGCATAAAAAATTGATTCTTAAGTATGGTCAAGTCAATGTCACAGACTGTGGCTGCAGAGTTTCTGCTGCTCTGAAATCATGTGATAGAGTCACATGACTCCATAAATCTATATTGTCATCAGATTTTTCCCATTTGTTTCACTTGTCTCTTCTGAAATGTTTAGCATATAGTAGTTAAGGAATAAATAGTCACTGTCACTGTCCCTGTCACTGTCCTCCCATTTTTCATCGATTTGCTCCAGCGGGTGCCAGTAACATCTCCATTGTGAGACTTCTTACTGTTTTTGGCATATTGAATATGTCATGGGGAGTTTGCCAGGCTTTTCCATGAGGGCGGAATACTCTCGGTAGCTTGCCGGGCTCAGGGACAGAGGAATCAAACATGGGTTGGCCGTGTGCAAGGCAAACACCCCACCCACTATGCTATCGCTCTGGCCTGAGGAATAAGTATTACATTTTTTAAATCTGAATTGTAGCCCTAAATAATTTGTTTGCTCCGTTACATCAATATTAATGGTCTTTTACTGCTGAATAAAATCTGTGTATTTTGAAGAAGGGGCAACTTTACATGCCAGTATTCACTCTCGTTATTGATCAGTGAACAGTAGTCCATAGAGTAGAAACTTTCTCAGAATATTGGCTGCATCTCCAGAATTTCTTGAATAAAATGAAAAAAAAATCAAAGCAAGTTTTGATCTTCACAATCCAAGAGTATTATATTGGCAAATGCAAACTAGGGTACTTCCATTCAATAATATAAGCACCATTCACTGGTAAGCATTTAGGTGATGAAAGTAATTCAGATAACGCAGCCCTGTAAAACAGTGAGATTTTGATGTTTTTCAGTGAGTGTCTAGGATGGAACTAGTCACATTGTTAGCATGAAACCTTTGGTCTCTTCCCTGAGACTTTTAGACTTTCCCCTGAAAGTGATGAGACAGGAGTCTTTCTTTCAGGAGCTTAAAATACAGGATAATAGTTACTTGCTATATAGAATTTTTCTCAATTACTGACTCATTCCTAATTTACTAAGGAAATTTAAATAGCTATGTCTATAAACGAAATTAGTATCCTCTCTACCTTTCTACTGAAATTTTCCTAAAACACCTAAACATATTCCATCTTGAAATTGCTCTGGATTCTGCTTCCCCTTAACTATCTCTCATTTCTGTACAGACCCTTATAATACTGTCTCCAGACTACCTCTAATTCCTCTCTCACATTTTCTCTTAAATCCCAGCCAGGCTTTTGCCCCCACCATCTCCTCAGACTTTTTGTTTCTCATCACTTCTATGTGACTAACCCATTGTTACATCAGAATCTGTGTTAATCTCATTAGAAAGAATGAGATTAAGTTCTGTTCTTTGAAACATGCTTTGCCCTGGGCATCTGGGACCCCCGCACTTACCTGATTTAGCTTCTTATACTTGCTGACAACATTCTCAGTCTCCTTAGCTTCTTTGTCTTTCCCTTTTCCTGACAAAATATTCTTTTGCTGGGTCCTCCATTTATTACCCGTATCATAACACTGGAATGCCTGGACTTAAGGTCTTACACCCCTTCTCTTTATACTCTCTACCCTTGCATGTACACGACCCAGATTTGATACCTTGAGTTTCGTCAGGTGTGATCCCCGAGTACTAGTCAGGAGTAAGCCATGAACATAGCCAGATTTGCACTACCCCACTCCACCCCCCAAAATCAAAGAATTTGAAATCATTTGAATGCTGATCCTTGAATGAGTATTTCAAAATAGACCTCTCTCCAGAACTCCAGACTCAGGTTCAACTGCCTACTCTACATCTCTGCTGAAATGTTTAATAGACATCAAAATCTAAATTTATCTCAAACCTAGCCTTTGATCCCATCCTACTATGGTCATCTTCATCACAGCTGATAGCATGACCATTCTTTCCATTTTTCATGCCAAGAACATTCAACGTTCAGTCTACAAGCTTATTCTCTCTGGTTTACTTTAAAGATACTTCTAGAATCTGATCACTTTCCACCTTTTCCTGATTCTTACTAGATTGTACCCAGCAGCTGGAAAGAGCATTTTTGAAAAGTAATGTAAGTCTTAATCTTTCACAGTTAACGTTTACTAAGAAGCCCTTCAAAACTTGCTCCAATATAATTTTTCCAATGAGACTATGACTGTTCATTGCAAATTGCAATTAGCGGCTCATTGAAAATTGCAATCAGTTCCACTGTACCTGGTCTCAATTTCTTTCTCATATTGATTTCTTTTCAAAAAGTCCTAATATGCTGTGCTATTGTGTTCATTTAATTATCTTGCCTCCAAAATATAAACTCAATGAAGGCAGGGAGTTTGTTACTTCTTCCACTAATGTATTCTCAGCATCTGAAGGAGAAGTAATAGACAGTGGAAGGTCAAAGAAACTTCTCTAAAATAGAATGAATACAATCAGACATCCAGGAACAGTGCATTTTTAATGGAGAAGGGTACCTTTCTAAATGTCAGATGCCACCTTTGTTGGCAGGGGATATCAAAATTGTAGACAAAAACCACATGAATGACATGACATAGGATTGCTATTGACTATTAAAGAGTTTTTATCTAAATAGCATAAATTCTTGTCAAAGCTATTAATTTAGCAACATGAGACAATTGGGACTCATTTACTGTTTTATTACGTGTTGTGACAGTACTGTGTCTGTCAAGGTGACCTTGTCTGTCTCTTTGCCTGGAGTCATTAGAAAACATGGTAAAGTGAAAATTAAGTAAAGGAAAGGATGTCTGGAAAGAGATCAGAAAAGCAGTTGAGTGAGAAAACTCAAGTCTTATTGTTTGCCATTTGCAGAAAGGGGACAATCTCGATTTAGGGTACCACAGTGTTGATATCTTTCATTTAGCCCATCAGCAGGTCTCACTGTTCACCACAGAGGTCAGGCAGTGGCAAAGGCTAGAATAGAATACTACTATGGCCAATGTAAGCAGGCATATCAGAGCCAGGGGTAGAAACCAGCACTGGATTCCAAGTCAGAAGCAGAAAACAACCTATATATCAGGCTCGAGCCATCAGGCATTTCCTTGCAGCAAGAGGAGAGCTAGTAGGACCAGCCTGCAGCCCCTGGGAGTGATGGATCCCCGGAGCTCAGTGAATCCTAGCCACAGCCCACACATACCCCACTTTTTTTGTGCTGCAATGGAAGGACCCTAGCTCATCTCCATGGGCTGTGGAATACAGAAAGCTCTAGTGCACATGAAGGCCACTGGCATATTAATGTGCATAAGCAGAAGGATAGGATATACCTGCAGTTTACAACAATGAAGATTCTCCCTCCCCAGGCAGGCAAGCCAGCCTAGGCTGAGAGGTCCCTTATCTCCCAGAAAGGAATTGGAGCAGGCCCAAGGCCCATTCTAACACTTGAGAGCGCAGGAGGAAAGTGCAGGGGAGACCAAGAGTGTGCCTATTCCCTTTCCCAGGGGGTGCAGGTTGAGCTTTAGATGATGCTTTTGAGCCCTAAAGTTTGAAAGCTGTTCAGAGCACTAGGATGGTAACAGGAGCAGCTGTAATCCTGGCATCCAGAGGTATGGAAACTCTGTTGGTACGTGGGTTTGTATGAATGAAAGAAACCAAGGAAGCCCAAAGACTTCACAGGATTCAAATTAGTTGCTTATAAAGTATGTCAGGAGAGGACAAGGCAAGGTTTACATTGGATTGTTGGAGAATTGCCAGTTGAGCCATTGATTTGGAAATAGAGGTTTCAAAGGTCCTCCTTAAAGCAAATAACCTAAAACACAAAACCTGATTCACATCGAGGCAAAGCTTCCCCATCACCTCTGTCTGCTCTGAAAGTCATCATAAGAAGTGACACGGCTGGTTTTTAAGAACTTTTACCTACTAATTGGTTGCCAAGGAAACCTACATTGAAACCTACTGACAGTTTGCACTTGGCTTGATGGTGTATCAGCTGGTGGAAAGTCTTGTTTGGCAGAAAAACATTGGGGGGACTCTTGGTGCATGTCAATGCAGGGCTCTTACAGACTCATCTGTGAAACCCAGGCAAAATGGAAAGCCTGTGCATTGCAGACTGCTCAAGCCAGCTCTGCCAATGACTGATAATCACTGGCAGGTCCGAGATTTTGTGCGAGAATGAGAAGAAACGAGATGTGGCTATCGGGAATACATAGTGAGATAGGCTAGCATCTCTCACAATTTATTGTGTGACTTGTGCTGAACTGGAAAGCTTTTGCTCCAAATGACTCTTATACCTTTTTCCTGAGTCACTCTGAGCAGAAGATTGATTCTCTAGTTGTATTGATGTGAAATGGGTGGCATAAGGGGAACAGAGAGACAGTGTAGTGGGTCAAGTATTTGCCTTGCGTTTTGCTGACCCAGATTCAATCCCCAACACCCCTGACAGTCCCCAGTAGTGATCCCTGAGTGTGGTTCACTATTAAGCCCTTCCAGACTTGTTCAAAACAACCAGAAACCATGAGTTAATGCGCTCATCTTTGGGGTTCTCTTCCCCTTTTTCTTGGTGTTCATTCACCTCTTGGTCTTGACCTTATAAAGTAATATAAGGGTTGCAAGTTCACCAATGCAGTTTAAATATTTTACTTACATATTTTGCCCACCATCTTTATCTGTTTTCACCCATATTTCTCTATGATTTGTTGCCTACTATATGAACTCCATCAAACATGGTGTGGTAATTATGGAAAATGGGTTAGAAGTGTTATACATGATGCTTACATAGCAATACTTTTCTTTTAGATAAATTCATTTTGATTGTGTGCCAAATGCTTTTTTTCAACTTTTTTTTTTTTTGCCCTTCATTTTGACTGATGGCATTGTAATTTGAAAAAAAATGTTTGTAAACAACCAGTCACATTCTTTGGCTTAGAGATTATTCTTCTCCTTGGGATACACCTGGGCATGAAGTAATATAAATAAATAAAGTCAAATTATCCTTGTGTTTAGAGTTTGTGTGTGTTTACGTATGTGTCTGATATTTCTGCTAGGGTACTCCACTGCATAATAATAACGATCCTAGTCAAAATTTCCTGAGACTGTTTCATGGATGTGTTTTCAATGGCGTGGAAACTTTGGGAAAGGAGCTCTTCATGTACTTTGGACCAAAAGCTTTACGGTAAGAGAATACTGCTCCATACATCTTATCCTCCTGTGTTTAAAGTGAGGTGGGGACCCTTTTTATGCACATTTTTGTATGCCTTATTTAATCTTGTGTCAAGTATTCTATTCTAAAGAGAGCTCTAATGTAAAAAGTTGAGACTCTAACCTGGAAAGTCATTTCAGAAGAATAAATTGTGTTGCCATCATTATAATGAAGGAGGGCAGTCAATTTAGCTATTTTTTTTTTAAGGAATAGGCTAATAGTGATTCTCCAGAAGTAGTAGAGTCAACATAGCTCTATTTCACTCTACCTTAAATTCCCTGCACTGCTATAGATGTCACCAGATGTCTCTTTAGAGTTAGTAACACAGCTTCTATGCATTTATGACTGCTCCTATTTTGATTTTAGTTTAATTCTAGGTTTTTGTTTCATTTTATTTTTGCTTCTTTCTTGGTAGCCTTGAGTAGAATTTATAAAGGGATGTCTAGAATTCAAAAACTTCAGAAAATGAATAAGTTCTCTGTTGTTTCGTAGTTTTGTTTTTTTTTCCTGAAAATTTGTTGTTAGTGTGTTGGCAAGGAACAATCTACTACCTTGGTGCTTAAAAAAAAAATACGTGTTGTATTCAGAGAGATACTACAGAAGACAGGGTGCTTTCCTTGGATGACATAGGTTCAATACCTGGTACCCCAAATGATCCCTCAGGCCTGCCAGGAGTAATGCCTGATTGCGGAGCCAGAAATAAGTCCTGAGCATAACTGACTGTGGCCCCAAAACAAACAAACAAAAAGTCAAAATGTATATGAGTGCCAAAATATGGTCACCTACTTAATTTCTGTAGGACAATGAAAAGATCTGTGGATTAAGATATCCAATCTTAATCTATCTTTTTTGAGTTTAAATTCAACTACTGCAAACTGTAAAGATTCCTAGTACTTTTAATTCTTCAAAGCAGTATTTTTTGGATATTGAGCAACTTTCACTTTCTTTTCCTTTTATTTTTTCCTTTTTTTTTCTTTTTTGTTGATGTCTTTTGGGCCACCCCCAGCTGAGGGCTTACTCCTGGCTCCGTGCTCAGGGATCATCCTGGCAGTGCTGGTGGGGGACCCACAACATTCTCCTTCTTAAAAGAAAGTCCTGTTACTATACACTCTGATTCAAGCTGAAGTGAATAATGATGACAAAGGGATAATTTGACTGTATGATTATTTATTGCATCTCATCTACCATGTATGTGAGGACTTCAGAGTCTGTGTAATTGCTTTTCCTCTGATGGGTTGTTTCTTCATTGTCAGCAGCTGCTGTCCTTGGTCAACATTGTCACTTCCTGGACGTTCCCTGTCGGGAACTGATAGCATCAGCTTCTTCCTACAGTAATGATCTATTGCATGTTGCATTACTGTTGGAGTAGACTGAGGTAATTGAAAACTTTTAGCTCTGAACAGAGAAGGACACGATGGAATCCATGTAAGACAGTTGAAAACATTGATATGTTATTGATTCTCTGGGCTAGGTGCATATTTATTTCCCTATGAGGAGAGGGAGGTTTTTATCAAGCGTTCTCCACCAGACTGATAGAGAAGGAATCATTTTTCAGTGCGGGGCTGTCAGTGAGTGTTTCATAAACTCCCCAGCAAGGGCAATCACTTTTTTGAACTAAGTAAACTACTTGCATCCCCAGAGGGTTATCTCAGGATATGGGTGGGGGAAAGGCTTGCTGCTTTTCCTATTCCTACAGCCTTAATGGCTGTCTGATAGAACAATTCAAGACAAGTAGTAGATCAGTTGTTTGAATATGAATTGAGCAACCAAAAATGAATGGTATCTCCATTCAAAATATAGCATAAATATCAAAAACATGCTCCTTTGAATTTTAGAAGAATGGATATCTCTTCTAAGAAATGTGATCTTTGTGTAAATGCAGTCAGCTTTCTGACCACTAGATGTGTGCCAGAAATGAAGCTTTTTTGCAATTAAACTTATTGATGGGTTTGACTGTATCTTGCGAGACAGGCCGTGAATTTTCATGGGAGTCATTTGTAATGAAAGTAAAATAGCCCTCTGAAAGAGCGTGCAAATCTACACTTTGGAAAGACACAAATTAGAGGTGAATGTTTTTGTTACTGAAATATGTATGAAAGGGCTCAAACATTTAAGTGCAAAGAATGCAAAAAAAACTATTTGAGTGTGACCCCACTTATTTTTAAAATAACAGTTGTATGTTATGTGTGATTAATACAAACTACTTCTGTTTTTTGGTTTGTTTGGTTTGTTTTCCTTTTGTTTTATTTGTTTGAGGGTCACACCAGGAAATTCTTAGGAGTTACTCTTGGCTCTGCATGCAAGAATTACTTCTGGAGGTGCTCAAGGGACCATGCAGGATGCTGGGGATTGAACCCGGTTAGCCATGTGCAAGGCAAGCACTTCACTATACTATCTCTCCTGTCCCCATACAAACTACTTTTGAACACTATTTTTTTTTTTTTTTTTTTTTTTGCTTTTTGGGTCACACCCAATGATGCTCAGGGATTATTCCTGGCTCAGTACCCAGGAATCTCAGGAATTACTCCTGGCGGTGCTTGGAGGAACATATGGAATGACAAAGCTTGAACCTAGATAGGTCACATGCAAGGCAAACACCCTACCTGCTGTACTATCTCTCTGGTTTCATGGAACACTTTTTATAGTAGTCTTACAAGTAAATTAAAATTGTTTTAAATTTTTTAGCAAATATTAATACAAACTGATGAAAATGGCAAACAAGAATAAATTTCAATGTATGCATTCACAATTCCACTGCAAAATGTATATTTCATATTAACATAGAATGGGCATATTACCAACACTAAAGCGTATGTGCCTGTAAGTTTCTTTGCCCCAGCACCCCGCCCCTCTCTCCTCCCCCCACCTCCATAAGCTGCCTTTTCAATCAGATGTACACAGCTGTAACATCTTGGGCTAGCATTTAAAAGATATATTTTTTTCATGAATAACTCTCTCCAAAAACACTTTGCTATTTCCAATCTCTGATTTACATTACTTTGATTGTCTGCAATTATCCTCAGAGACCAGAAACTATATCTGAAATATTTTGGAGGCTTTGCCATTTTAGAGAAGCTTTATACATTATTGATTTTGTGATTTATTGGCATCTAAGTGATCTGATCCTCTGTTAGATATGCAAGAGATAATGCAACAGCTCTCTTTAGTTTATTACAAAGTCTTTACTGAAATCCACCACACCGTATTCATAAAAGTGTTTTGTTGCAAAGGTGCAGTTGTGGTAAACTATCGCATAATGTTAGAGAAAACTGAAGGTGTGATCAAGATTCTAAGCTGAATTGTTTTATTATTTGGAAGAGCAAATTCCTACTGGAGTGTTCCTTCTGAAGACAGGTCACCTGGCCATACCAGCCACAGAGTTCCAGTAGAATTTAACATTTTCTCTCTTTGACATGGTTGATTGGATTTATCTGAGTTCTCGGTTTCTTCAGCCTCTCTCATGCAGAGATGAGTTTTAGGCCCTCTAAGACAGGGAAGTTGCGGTGTGAGGTCTCAGAATGTAACTGTACATGGCCATGTTACTTGGCTTTTCAAGAAAGACCAGGCAAGGGGAGAGAAAATAAGCATGCTGCGTAAAGAAGAGAATACCATGGGCTCTTCCTTTCCATCTGTTCCTGAACTACCACTATATTCCTGCCTTCTCTCCAGCTTGACTCTTAAGCACTTCAGAGTCCACAAACTAGGAAACACTCCCTAGTCCCTAAAACTTTTTGAGTTGAATCTCCATCATTTGTAATTTAATAGAACACACCATTAAAGTAAACTACAGGTAGGAAAATTAAGAATCTTTAGTTCTCAAAATGCTAACTTTATTTTTTTCTGTTTTGATTACCATAATCCTTTCATGCATAACTGAGGGTATTTGGAAACTGGACCTCAAATTCATTTACTTCTCTTTGCACCTTGAAGCTGACAGGGCCTCACTGGTTCTGTTGCTTTCTGTGTCTTTTAATAATACACAGCATCATTTTATTGCCATTTTCTCTTATTTTAAAATTGACATACAAGCCAATTGGAAGCAATTAAAATCATTCAAAAAGTAAAATAGAAAAAGTGAATAACACCCATAATTGCTACCGCCAAGAAAGCACTCAATAGTTTTATAAATAATTATAGAAAGAATATAAATTGTTTATTTACTTATGTATTTTAGTCCATATGAATATTTATAAATTATGGATATACTAATTTTTGTATAAATTAAAATTTTAAATTATGTTGACTTATTCATGTAAATGCATTGCTTTCATCAATATAAAATACATATATACATTATTTTTTCTTTTTCTTTGTGTTGTTTTTGAGCTACAGCCTGCTGTGTTCAGGGCTTTTACCTGCTCTGTGCTCAGGAATCATTCCTGGAGGGGATTAGGGGATCATATGGGGATGCTAGGGATTACCCCCAGGTTGGCCATATGCAAACAAGCACCTTGCCTGCTGTTCTCTCTCTCTGGAACCCTCCATTACTATTTCAATGTATAGAGGACTCTGATGAGAATACATCATCATTTTGATCAAAGCCTATTGATGAGCTCCCCTCCCATTTTTCACTAATAAATACTGTTAACATCCTTATTCCATATATTTGCTATTCTAAAAATTAGTATCAATTCTTAGATGTATTTTTGCTGGAGCTTATTGCTGGTGCTCTTTTGTGTCCACTCAAAAGGCCTAGAAAAGTATTAGGAATGGGAAAGAAAGGCATTTGCTACTTTGATTACCTGCATAGCTGCATATTGAAGAATGGCCCAGCATGGCTATGATTCAGCAGTGTTTATTGACCACTCTGTGCAAGATTTTTTTTATTAACTTTTTATTTTTTTTAATGAATCACCATGGGGTACAGTTACAGACTCACAAACTTTCGTGCTTATGTTTCAGTCATACAGTGATCGAGTACCCATCCCTTCACCAGTGCCCGTTCTCCACCACCAATGATCCTGGTATACCTCCCACCACCACCCTCCCCCTCCCCCCACTCTGCCTCTGTAGCAAGGCATTCCCTTTTGCTCTATCTCTCTCCTTGTGGGTGTTGTGGTTTGCAATAGAGGTATTGAATGTGTGTGAGATTTTTAAACTCCTGAAAACATATTAACCTGAAATCCATGTGAAGCATTTAATAATTAGAAGACTCAAAGGCTGTAAAAGCATACACACCAGACATGATTCTCAGAAGTCATAATTTTTTAACTTATCTGCCTCAATTTTCCAACATCTGAGCCATTTTGATGGCTCAGTTGATTGTCCTCTCTTAACATTAGGCTTTATGGTTTTACTTTATTGTTTCTTTATTTTTTATGTGTTCTTATTGTTTTTGAATCTTGAGATTATGGTTACATCAACAACAGCACAGTCTGAGTTCAATAATATATAAATCTAGATACAGTATTGTCTGTCATGCAGTGATGAAGGGTGGGAGAATTTAAAGAGTAAAGGAAGCAGTTGGGTGTGTTTGGGTTTTGTTATGTTGTAGTTGCTCTCAAAACAACAGTGAGTGTAGAGCCACCAAATCACCAAATGCAGCTACTACTTTATGCCTGGAGTGTGGCCCTGGTGGCTGTTCTGTGTTTCTGGTCCATGCCAGGCAGAGCTTGCATACTCATGGCCCAGCGGTGTATGTGTGTGTGTGGGGGGGGTGGGGGTGGGGGGGTGTCCCCACAGCCTTGCCACTCCCCTCTGGCTGGCCGCTGTTGCTTGTTAGTGAGAGGTTCATTATTGACAGGAGGGAAGTTTTTTTTCTTCCAGACCAGCCTTAATCTCAGGCTTGCCATTTTCATGGGATTCCTATCCATCACTTCTTCCCAAAATAACCAGGCTCTCCCTTCACTCTGTGGCGGTCCCCAGTCAGACGCTTTCCTCCCTTCCTCTAAATCTTTTGCAGAATTTAATGTTGAGGCCAATTCCTTGCCTCTCCTCTGGGGACAGATAGATTGCTTTGGCTTCTACTCTTCAACAACAGTTCTTGCTAATTCTTGAAACCCTGGCCAGAGGAAGCATCCTATGGCTCAGGGAAGCTGCATTTTGTCTCTTCCCAACTGCTATCTATCGGTTTGGAAGTATTTTGCTTCATGTGTGGGTAGTGCTTAAGAAACAGACAGGGTTCCATGCAGATTGGTGCCTTCTACCAAGCGTGGAGCTTCCAGGTCTCCTGCCAGGATTTGCGTCATTCTCATGTGCAACCAATGAGGGGTGGAGATGTGTGTGTAAGGGTATAAGTTGGGGGCTTGGGGGTGGGTATCTTATAAATAAATGAGTGCTCTACTCAGATCTGGTGCTGTGGGAATTCTAAATTGCCCCACCAGTAACATTTAGCACACTATGTATTTAAAAAGGTTTTTTTGGGGAGCGGGGGGCACACACAGCAATTCTCGGGTCTTACTCCTGGCTCTGCACTCAGGGAATTCTCCTAGCAGACTCTGGGGACCATACAGAGTATTGGGAATCAAATCCAGTTGGCTGTGTTCAAAGCAAATGCCCTACCACTGTCCTATCTCTCTGGACTTCGACTTGAAAGTTTTTTGAAGACGTTTTGTTTTTAGTTATTTTCATATCAATTATGGGGATGAGGGAAGGATGCACAGTGCTCAGAGGCTGAGTGACCCGTGGTGATGCCCAGAGGGCCCTATTTGGTGGGAGGGATCCAGCCGTGGTGGGCTGCATGCAAAGCAAGTACCTTAACCCCTGCATCTCTCTGTCCCTGCTGACCCATTTTTAATAGTCATTTCTTCCTCCTCTGCTTCACCACAGATGTGTCTGTCTCCTCACAAAGGAGCTTGTCACTCTTTGGAACCCAATTCACTGCATCTCAGGTCTCTGGTGGGCTCAAGAAAGTGAATGAATTTAAAATAGTGTGGCATTTTTTTCTTCCTCATTATTGTGGGAGTTAATAATTTCACTCATTTATGTTCTGAGTAAAAGCAGACCTCCTTGGTAAAACCAACTTTCAAACAACTTCTTTTTTTAAAACTCCTAGCATACATTTTATAATTAATTGATCTATTTTATGCTCTATTTTCTGAGGACACTTTTGACCACTTGCTAATTTTCATAAGCACTTGCCTTGTAAGCAGTTAGGTTGTTATAAACACGAATCTGCTCATGCTATTTATACTTGCTTAAGGATTTCAGATTATTCCGATAGAAGTTTGCTGAAAGAATGTGGCTGATTAAATAGTATCAAGTCTTAGTTTATCATTTATTTTAGGAAGAAATTTTTAGCTAGAGGGATTTTATTAATATCAATTCCATTTTTATTCTGAATGCAATTTTGATATTCAAGTTTTGATGGCAAATTGCAGCAGCCTACCCCAAATAAGTTTAATAATTGTTTATTAAAAGAATATAGGGTAGGACTAGAGAAATAGTGCTGAGGATATATATGGTGCTTGCCTTTCACACAGCTGACCTTGGTTCTATTTCTGACCCTTGAGCACCACCAGGAGTGACCCCTGAGCACAGAGCAGGGAGTAAACCTTGAGCACAGCTGGGTGTAGTCAGATCACCACCAGAATGAAAAATAAAAGAAGATGGTCTATTACATTATAACTAAAGAGAAAGGAATTAGGATTCAAGCCGAACTGGAAGCAAAATCTCCAAAGCTGCTAGGGCCTATTTGTGACTTCTGTTTCCCACTGAAATCTGCCATCATCATTTCTGTCTGCAGACCGAGGTCCTCTTTCAGCTTTTCTGAGGACCGTGTAGAGTCTTTCTCATAGATACCCTCATAATAGATCTCCGAGTGATAGTAAAACCCTGGAACCTTCCATGCCCAAACCCAGAAATTTATTGAATTGAATATATAAGCTTGCATGTCAGTGTAGTGTCCTTGCCTCCAGTGTCCACTCCTGATCAGCTGGACCAAGGCATGAGCTCTTTGGAGAGGTCAGGGACCATTGAAGATTAATCTGACGCTTAACACTTCCCAGAAAGCATCACAAGTAGAATGGGTGATGTCGATGGACCATGGAGAGAGGGAGCTTGAAAAGGTCAAGAAATAGGGGCTGGAGCGAGCAGAGAGGGCATTTGCCTTGCACGCAGCTGACCTGGATTTGATTCCCAGCATCCCATATGGTCCCCAGAGCACCAGCAGGAGTCATTCCTGAGTATAGAACCAGGAGTAACCCCTGTGCATTGCCAGATGTGACCCAAAAATAAAAATAAAATCTAGAAAGATAAGGATATAATAAAATGCTCCTAAACTTGATAATTCTAATAAGGAATCTGTATTATGGATCTGCGAGGTCTGGTCCAGAAAAGATCCAGATGTCAACTTTTGAAACTGTACCACATTTTTATTATTGACACCAGTATGTTTTCTGTATTTCACATCTGTCATTTACCAAATGACAGATCTGAAATATAATAAAAATAAAATATATTATAAATATAAACATTAAATAAAATCAAAATATATTGGCTTCCTTGTCATAACATTGTCATAAGACGTAGCTATTTAATATAAGGAAAATAACAAATGTATATTTTTCTGTATATTTCTAAATTAAATAGATTTTTAAGAACAAGACAGGCTTACCTATTTGCATCAGGGTTCTCATGTGACTACTGAGTCTGATTTTCTGATCTGGGTCTTAACCTTTAAGAGTTTGGTTTTTTTTTTAATGTGGGTGCAGTTTCATTACAGAAAGTGATTTAGAATCCGCTTTATGAGCCATGCAGCTGAAAAGATTTTCAGATACGATGGCTCCTGGGCATGACAGTTGTACACCTTTCACTGGGGTTGAGGCTCCATAAGCTAAATTATGGAGTACTTACAGGCACACATTTTCCCTGTCAAGAACTATGGGGCATGTAAAATGCATTTATGATTGATAGTGGGGCACCCAGAGTTTAAAACCCACATTTTTAAAGTTAGACTGGTTAACCTTGTACAGTACTATAACAGGGTGCTTTGGAATTAGCAGCACTGAGCAGTAACATTTGCTGCCAAAGAAGCCATATTTATTAACTCAACAAAGCTGTAAGGAGAAAGATTTGAAAGGCAGACCACACTATTTCATCTTGAGAATCATTTTTGATCTTCATCACAGGCCACCCAAAATCACTTTTTTTTTTCGGACATGCTAATCAATCCTTTACAATCTGAAAGGTTATGAATTTTTCATCTCAGCATTTGGCTTTCAAGTTAACTGTAAATATTTATAAATGCCTACCTTCCGCTCCATAGAAAGATAGAAGAAACCTAAAAGGTTGCGAGACAATATCAGTTTGATTTGTTCTCTTTTTCTTTTTTCTCTCTTTCTTTTTTGACGTGGAAGCTTTTGCCAATTTTTTTTAAGTGTCATTGTATAGCCAAAAGCAGTGGGGGGAAAAAAAAAACGTGTCATAAATTGTAGATGTTATCTTGAAATGCTTCAACATTTCTAATCCATTGTGGCTTATAATAAGGACTTTTAATGGCAGGAGCTCTGTAACATTTATAAAAGCACAAATTCCAGGCAATTTAAATTTAGCCCTGCCTTGTTCCAAGATTTTGAGTCTGAGAAAAAGCTGAGCAATACTAGACTGTTCCCTGTATAAAAGATACTTTGACAAGAAAAGATTAGAATGAGTTTGTTTTCTTCGGCTTGTTGTCAGGACCTTATTATTTCTCTAGGATTGTATTTATGGGGTGAAATGGATGCAAAGCCATAACAGAAAATTATATTAAATTATTATTTATTGTTTTCTGCCTATTAAAAGTATCTACCTTGACTAACTGTTTGCTATAAACCAAAAAGGTGAAGAAGCAAAAACATCATATGTGATAATTTCTGCCACTCATAAACAAGTTCAATTTTGTTTCAGGATTCATTTTGGAATGAACGGCTCCATGATGATTAATCCTCATGGATCTAAAAATAAGAACAGAAATTTTCCCGTTTTAGAAATGCAACTCTCCAAAGACTTAATTTGTTTCTTTGACTCAACGATAGAACTCAGGTAAAGTATAGTGCACGAACTGCGGCTGCAGAAAGGTGGACATAAATAAATAAGAAAATAAGTAAATAAATAACAACCCCCCAAATAATGTGCTTGACAATGGATTAAAACCTCATTGTAAAAGAGCCTCCAATTAATACAGTTTGTTAGTCTCTTATTGTCTGGCTGTGTAACTCGTAACCTGATTAACATAATGCATGTATATTGTATATTTTTTTCTCATCAAAACTCATTTTCAGTGACACTATGAAATATTAAGCAGACTTATGATTAATGTGTCTTATATTCCTTTCTATAGGAACTCAGCAGAAAGCCAACAGAGAATAAGAATGATGGAAGAATTAGATGTCTGTTCACCTAAATTTAGCTTCTCCAGAGCAGAAAGCAAAGTGAAGGAGCAGAAAGGCCGGATGCTCTGTGATGTGCTGATGGATCAGAGAGTGTTGCCAGGGGTAGGAAACATCATCAAAAATGAGGCTCTCTCGGACTCTGGTCTCCACCCTGCTGTTCAAGTAGGTCAAAAGTAATTTTTCAACAGTTTCAATATTTTTAACTACTGTGAATGGATCCCCATGAGACGGTGGAATTGTATCACAGTCACAGTCTTCCCAAACAGACTTCGGGGGTTCCTCCTTCAAGTCTTCGCTCTGAGCCCACCTCCCAGTGAGGCCGTCTCTCAGTTCTCTTTCAGTGGACCGCACAGGAATCGCCTGCCTTCCCAGCCCATGCATCTGATCTCCCCAAATTCGCTTTGTCTTTGATTTTCCTTCATGCCGTTTATCACTCTCAAGCGTAAAGAAGTCCTTGTTTTACTTCGCGTTTAAAACCTACCTCCTTTACCTAGCAGAAAATTCTCTTAAGGAAGATGCCTCTTCTGTTCTCAAACGCAGCCTCAGTCTAAAGTTGAGGGTCTGACTCCTGGCAGGCAAAGAAGGATTACTGCTGGATGTTAGAATATGTGAAGCTCACAATTTTCTTATATTCTAGCATATTAACTCCATACTCTGTACATGCTCATGCTTTAAAAAAAAAAAATTAAGGCCATACCCAGTGTAGGCTAACATTGCTTTGTCCCTTCTCCCTTGCCACAAGGAGCTTAGTTTTACCTGGTCACACCCATCAAAGTGCTCCCAAGTCACTCCCATTCCTTTGTTTATCTAAAACCACTTCTCTATGCTCTCTTCCCCAAACAGTTAATCAGCTTATTCCTCTAACCAGTTTCTGTTAATTTGTAAGATCAGATCTTTCTAGGACACTGAACTTGTATCCTAAGTTAATATTGCCTTTCTCCTCTCCTTATGTCTTTTGAATAGCTTACTTTAAAGCAGTGTCCTTTTGTATAGACACAAGAAGACAATTAACTACGCTTTTGTATCTTGGGATTTAATTGGCTTCAAATATTATTCATTCCCGGACATAGGCTTTCTCAACTTAAGCCTCAGTTACCCTCACTTCCTAGTGCCCCCAAAAGCAGGGTCCCAATGAGGGACTGAATGGAACCAGGGCAAGCAGTAAGCTATGTGCTACCCTGGCATTCAGATGGGCCTGGCCAAAGTGCCACAATTCTGAATTATAAGTTAAGAGCATGGACAAATGCTGTCATGATCCAAAAGTAGATGAGACTAGGACCCTACTAGGTATAAGAAAGATTAATCTGGCCTGAGCACTGTAGTCTGAGATTGGGATGACCCCAGGAGAACAATTCTATAAATTTAATGCATCTCTTACTGTGTCCATACAAAATGATTAATATTATTAATGCTTATATGTTTGCTGGACAAGGAGAGGAGAAACACACCCATGGGATTCCTGCTGAAAGAGAATCTGTCCTAGAAGCAGCATCCCCTGAAGGAAAGAACTTTAACCCTATTGATTGTGACCACACCTATGTGTAAGCCCAGCCCCTCATGGTTTTGGGATTTAACTAGACTGTAAGAGTGGGGGTGGGGATCGAGATGAGATCCAGAGCCAGAGTCAGAGCCAGAAGGAGAAAGGGGTTCCAGATGGGGAGCTGGGAGAAAAGGAGAGAGACAGGAGTGAACAGGGATCAGAGTGGAATAAACAACATCTTATCAATCAATCGGCTTGGCCCTCTCTTCCTCCGCCCTCTGCCCCATGGCCTGGGCTGCCCTGGCTGGGGGAGTGGCCCAAGCCCCCCAGAACCTGGGTGGCCAGGGGAAGAGCCGTTGGGGCCATCTCCTGGCCACCCTTGGAGTGGAGTTTTATATAACCCAGCACTGCTTAGCTCTTACTCCTGGCTCTGTGCTCAGGAATCACTCCTGAGGGGCTTGGGGTACCATATGGGGTGCCAAGGATTGAACCCGAGTCCACCTCATGCAAGGCAAGACCCTACACACTGTACGACTGCTCTGGCCCACCATACATTCTTATTTATAACTACTCAAGACATAGGTATTGTTCTTTTAGCGGAATAAATGGAAATTGGGTAACAGACTGAGTGATCAGTGAAGAAACAGCAGTGAAATTTAGAACACTTGTTAGAAGAGGTTTTAACAAGAGTAAGGGGGAGAGAATTATATGGCCCAAGGGGAATATGAGGGAAGGGAGTAGGTGTTGACTTGTTTTTTTGTTTGTTTTTAATTTACGTTGTTGTTGTTGTTGTTGTTGTTGTTGATTGGGGGCAGCACCTGACTGTGCTCAGGGCTTACTTCTGGCTCTGCATTCATTGATCTCTCCAAGTGGACTCAGGGGACCATGCAGTGTCAGCCCTCTACCTGATGTTCTAGCTCTCTGGCCCATGTTTGTTTTTCTTTGTTGTTGTTGTTCAACTACTAAAGCTTGAATTTACTTATACATTGAGAAAAAAAAAGGAAAACTGATAGAGAAGTGATAAAATCACAGAAAGGAGAATGAATAATTAATAGGACATACTTGTGAGAATGTCAGAGGTTAAAATCCAAATCTAGATATAAGTATCTCCTGGATAATTTTCATAAAATCACAATCAGCAGAAATCACATTTAGAAGAAACTCCTTCATAATTGTTCTAGATTTGGTTCCGTCTTTTAATACTTGGAACAAGTTCATCAAATTTCTGTCAGGTGCAAATAATGAAACAGAACTTTAGTACAGAATGAGTTTTAATTTAATTAGAATGAGCTTTCTAAAATCACTTAGACGTCAATGGAAATTGCTCTTAAAAAAGAACCCAAGGTACTGCCATCATAAGTATTGTTACTGCTTCTTATAAATTAAGAATTTACTTTTCATTTGTACTTTTAGTCAGCTATTCATCTTGTAAAAGGTCATATGCCCATAAATGTCTGTGGATTTAAAAATTAATGGCATTTCTGAAGTTTAGCTATTATCCCCCTGCAAGCACATGCACATTTATTGAACAGTAAGTCAGCATTTCAAGGTGTGACTGAATGTAAGGTACAGTAAGAAAATAGGTGAGTTTTAGACATGTATGTGTTCTAAATTTTAAATAATTGAAAGGCGTATGCCATACTGTTATAGAATGATAATGTTGATGAGATGATTTTCGGTTTTAAGAGTTACCAATAAATGGCTTTCTATTGTATATCATTATTGCTTGTATGCATGTATATAAGACAAAAAATATCAGAATTACTTCTGAAAAAAGCCATGATAGCACAGAGACCCAAAGACGATTGTGCTTGCAGGGATGACACTGAAATTTATGCCAGGGGGCTTCCCCAAAAAATGTCTTTGGAGAGCCCAGGAAGGTGGCTTGGTGGTACCACAGCTGCCCTACACCCGCAAAAAACCTCTGGTTAGTTCCTGGCACTGTACAAATGGGCAGCCTCTGGCGTACTGCACCCGAGTGACGATCTCTGGTGATCTGGACAGCCAAGGTGGGCAGGCAGCACGTCCAGCCAGCACCCAAACCCTGCTAATGAAACTATCTGGTGCTGGCCACCCGCTTCTCAGTTTCTCTCCATCCCTTGTTGTTTCTCTTCCATTCACCTCACCTCCTTCTTCTTCATTGTCTTTTTTTCAAATTCAGCAAGATTTTCAGGTGGAAATATTGCTTATTTGTTTGTTATTTCAGTTGGGGTTTAGGACACACCTGGCTGTGCTAAGGGTTTTATTCTTGGCTCTATGCTCAGGGATGGTCTTTCCTGGCGATGCTCAGGGGACTCTATGGGATACTGGGGATCAAATACAGATCAGTCGTATGCCGTGCAAGTCCCTTTCCCTCTAGACTATCTCTTTGGACCCTCAAGATCGATAACTTTGAATACATGTGATCCTGAATTCAATAAATGCTTAAAATTTATGATTAAGAATGGTTAGTTTAACTATACTCCTATTTAAAGATGAAATTTTATGAGTATATGAAAACTAGTACTCTAGTATATATATGTATACTTCAGGGGCTGGGGCAATAGCACAGCGGTTGGGCGTTTGCCTTGCACGCAGCCAACATGGCCGACCCAAGTTCGATTCCTCCGTCCCTCTCGGAGAGCCCAGCAAGCTACTGACAGTATCTCGCCCGCATGGCAGAGCCTGGCAAGCTCCCCGTGACGTATTCGATATGCCAAACACAAGTAACAACAAAGTCTCCAATGGAGACGTTACTGGGCCTGCTCGAGAAAATCGATGAACAACGGGAGAACAGTGACAGTGACAGTATATTTCAAATCCGTATAGTTTTTTGTGTTGTTTATAGTTTTCTTAAAACTGGCAAGTGGTGTTATTTTCCACAATATGAAAGTATCTATATTTGTTTTCTATTTTAAGGTTTGTCAGTTAACAGATGAACAGATTCATCACCTTGTGAAAATGACACGTGATTTCAGCATTCTTTTTTACAGGGTAAGAGCAAACAATTTTTGACAATGTAAAATGTCAATTTTCCCATTTGGATGTCATCAAAAATTTTAAAGTTGTATGTACCCATTTAGTGGTAAAAGTATAGGGATAAAATAAAGACAAATGATATGTTCTGAACATGACTAGCAATCTTGAAAGTTTGCGTCAGAGTTCAACCCAAACACATCTGAGTACATTTATACTTAATTGCCTTTATTCTAAATTGAGGGATGGTATATTGGCATTTTATTTCGGCTCTAATTCAGTTACCGGCGACGTAAAAGTAAAACTTAGTAGGAAATCTCAAGAGAGACTCTGTACTTTGGGATAAGTGGACCTCACTTCAGATTTTGCTACTTGCCATCTGTTTCTGAGGTTATTCGCATAATGCATTAGAATTTAGTTTTTCATCTGTCAAATAGAGCAATAATGTTTCCTGTCTATCCTAGACTTCATTGAGAAGGAAATAAGTACTAGTTAAAATACAATTTTGAAAGCTGCATGTATGCATTTCTACTCATATGGGGCTTGGTAAATACAATTTGTCTTTAAACAAAACATTGGTGGGACAGAGATAAAGTAGAGGGAATAAATCACTCGACTTGCACACCATACATGGTGTGTATGGTGTGCAAGCACACCAATGTTGCACTGTCAGCTGTGATCCCTGAGCACAGGGCCAGGAGTGAGCCCTGAGCACTGCTGGGTGTGACCCAAAAAGTCAAGAAGAAAAAGAAAAAATAAAGTCATATTATTTTTACCCCCATGGTCCACTTTCTCTATGCAAATCATTTAGGGTTTAAAGGAATCAAACCCAGGGCCTCACACATGTAGAGCATGTAATTCTTTCACACCTTCAGCTCCCACACTTTTCTATTTTAAATGCCACCGCTGTGTATAGCTGTAAGAAAAGCAGGTTTTCTGGTATTTTATACTAATTGGCTAAAGAATTAATGAATTTCTTATTTACATACCTGCCCTCAGTATCTATGGGTATTCTAATATTCCTTTTTATTGTCTTGTTTTATTTTGTTTTATTTTTATTGTAAAACAAGTACCCTATTAGCTGTTCTGTCTCTCTAGCCCTATTTTAATATTCTATATGCTCATTTATTCTGGATGGATAAATGAGGCAAATGCTATACCCGCTGGATCGATAGCACAGCAGGTAGGGCATTTGCCTTGCACACAGCCAACCCGGGTTTGATTCCTCCGTCCCTCTTGAAGATCCTGTCAAGCTACCGAGAGTATCCCACCCGCACAGCAGAGCCTGGCAAGCTCCCTGTGGCACATTCGATAAGCCAAAAACAGTAACAACAAGTCTCACAATGGAAACATTACTGGTGCCCACTTGAGCAAATCGATAAACAACCGGAAGACAGTGCTACAGTGCTTCATTTATTCATCCCAGAAATTTTATGATAGAAATTATACCCTTTTAGTGTCCATTTAAATTATTTCAGTTTTTGCTAAATTAATATGTTGTATCTGTAATTTTAAAGGTAAAGGCCCTCCCGTTGATCGTCGATTTGCTCGAGCGGGCCCAGTAACGTCTCCATTGGAGACTTTGTTGTTACTGTGTCTGGCATATCGAATACTCTCGGTAGCTTGCCGGGCTCTCCGAGAGGGGCGGAGGAATCGAACTCGGGTCGGCCATGTTGGCTACGTGCAAGGCGAACGCCCTACCCGCTGTGCTAAATTTTAAGCTTATACCTATTATGCTATATTTTCAGACATTCTCATTTTCACATGCTGTTATCAAATCAAAATATACTTTTTTGCAGGAGCTTGAATGTATGTGAGCAGAGTAAGACAGTGACAGTCTCAATTTTTTTGAAATGTAATTTATGCTAACTGATAGCTACTCTACTAAGCATTTGAATTTTTTCATTTTTAGTAAATCTGTAATATTAAAAAAGAGTCTCTTGTCAGGTCAACAAGGATTATCTTGTTAACTTTTCCCTCAGAAATAAATTTCTGATCATTGACACTAAGTAAACAGTTTAAAATGTTTTAAATATAATCAGATTTAAAGCTAATCTAGTTTCTCAAGACCACATAATTAAGTTTAATTAAAAAACTCAAAGGCATGAAATGTTTCAAATTATAAGACTTATATATCCCACTTAGATAAGAGGATAAAGCTATGCCCAGAATTTTGAAATCTAATGTCATAAAATAATGATGTGTTTGCACAAATATCATTTAACAAATTTTACTAAATGTTGCCAATACCTTTTTTTCTTAGATAAAAGAAAAGATTATATGTAACTTGTAACTTTTAACTAATTGGATTTTCAGAAATGGCGTTTAAGGATATACTTTTGATTTTTTGACAATGTTGTTTCAATGTGGCTAGTATTATTACTATAATTATCATCTTTGCTTTGCAGTGCCGTAAAGTTGGATCTAACATCTCTAAATATTATAAGGTTTATAAGCGTCCTAACTGTGGTTGGTGCTCTAGAAAAATAACCGTGTGTCGTTTAGGAGAAAATAACAGAATGACATATTTCTGTCCCCATTGTCAAAAAGAAAATTCTCAACATGCTAACATATGGTAAGATATCAAATTTAAGGGTATTTATTTGCCCCGGTTGCCTCAATTTTGTAACTAAACATCTATTCACATATATTCATATAAAAACATTAATTAATAGCCATCAGATTATTACTGAATATAACTCAAACATAACAAGGTATTGGAACCACTGGAAAAGAAACAGTAAGTACATTTTCCAATAACCCAAACAAACCAGAGATCATCACAGAATTCAGTAAAATAAATCTCTAACTAAGTTATTAATAGCAGTTTTTAGTTGTAATCAACTTTACAAAATGATTATCAGGCATAGATATTATCAATAATTGGGAAAAAAGCAACTGCCTTCAAAAGTCTTTATTTAAAATAAAATAAAAAAAATAAGAAAGATCTCTTTGTAGACACTCTGCTTTCTTGGTCAAACAGGCTACTGATGAAGTAGTCACTGGGTCTGTCTACTCCCCTGATGCATCCCAGAACAATGGAAATAACTACAAGTTATGCCATGGGCCCACTGTCTCACCATTGACACGAACTTAGGCTTTAGCTTCATTGGTCCCATGACGTTCATAAGTCCCTCCTCTGACTGTTGGAGCTCAGTGAGGATTTGGATCTTCTGGAATCGGTGTCTCTGCAGAATCGCTGTGCAGTCTGGTGATTTCCTCTTTCCCAATGCATAGTTATCCTGGAAAAATACCATGTATCCCTTTTGTGGAAGGCTGGGAGAAATAGTAACATATAAAACAGTTGCATAGCAGTATGTGTGATTATAAACCAAAATAATCAGTACAGACATAGAGTATATTAATGCTATAAGAATTCAGGGGTATGAGTGGTTGTATATAAAGGTTGGGAAGACCTCGTAGGAAAAGCTCTGTTTTAAATTTACCTTAACAGACAGAGTTTGGGTTAAGTAGATGAAAACACAAACCAAGTCATTGAAGAGAAGAAGTATAAGCTTGAATATTCATAAGCATATTGGAGGAATGATGGAAACAGTAATGAAATCAAAGGAAGATTCAATGTATGGAGTAGTAATATTAGCTGGTATTATAGTTAGGCTGTAATAAAGTAGTAGGGATCATAAGAAGTACTGAGAATGTTTCATTTTTTTTCCTAAATCAGTTGGATTGATAGCTTTTGATTGGTAACTTTGTAGTATAGTTAGATAGAAAATGAAGAGATATAGAGCCCACAAAGTAGGAATTCTTTTTTTTTTAATGGTTAAAATATGAAAGTATATATTTACTCATTTCTTTTTTTTAATTTTTCTTTTTTTATTAGTGAAACACCATGAGGTACAGTTGTAGATTTACAATTTTTTGTGCTTGGGTTTGATTATACAGTGATCAGATACCCATCACTCCACCAGTGCCCATTTTCCACCACCATGGATAATATCCCCCCCACCCCCATCCCCTATACCCCCCTGCCTCTGTGGCAGGGCAATCCCCTGACAAAGTAGGAATTCTTCAGGAATAGTAAAAAGGCAAGGATCAAAAGTTTATTGTGGATACTGAGAATGTGCATCACAACAAATTAGAATATTTAATAACAAAACACGCAGTAGAAATAAAAGCTGAGATATTGTTTATGAACTGCCTTGTACTGCTGTGAGTCACTTCCCCCCAAGCCCCACCCCCTGCTTTGGTGCATGGAGCTTCAGACTCCTGGGCATGTCTGATGACTAGCAAGAGTAGCTGGGCATAGAAAGTTACCCGTTGGCCTCATAATTGGCTATTGGCACATCTCGACGTCTGCTCAGCTGTCTTCCTCCTGCATTCTTTCTGCCTACCCATGAGGCCTGAGGTTCTCATGCGTCAGGGAGCTCCAGGTGTTGAGTATGTGACCGCCACATCCCACTGGGTCTGTATCGTGAGGCCAAGCATTGCAAGGATGCCTTGGGATTCAGTCCCAGTTCCCCTGCTGGGGTAGCCCCTACCAAAAAAAAAAAAAGGTATTTTTTTAGTGTGTGGAGAGACCTGTGCTCCCTGCAAAGTTCAGAGGACAATCCATGATTTTGCCCACATCCTTCCTATTCATACCAACCCCTATCTCTGTGACCTATTTTTGTTTGCTTGTTTAAGTTTCGTTGGGGCCAGACCTGGTGATGTTCAGGAATTACCCCTGGCTCTGTGCTCATAGATAACTCCTGACAATGCATGGAGGACCATATGGGATGCTGGGGATCGAACCCAGGTTGGCCACATGCACGTCAAATGCCCTCCCCACTATACTGTTGCTCTCACCCCGTCTCTGGGGTCTTATTTATTCTTTTTTTATGTAGGAGTACTGCTATTTATTCAGCCACTGATTAGCTGATTGAATTGGGCATGAACTCCACCTTACTTTTTTTTTTTCATTTCTTATAATTTTATTTATTGAATCACCATGAGAGCAGTTACAAAGCTTTTGGGCCTAAGTCTCGGTTATACAATGAAACACCCATACCTTCACCAGTGCCCATTCTCCACCCCCCAAAATCCCAGTATACCGCCATCCCACATTCTCCCCCTACCTGTGGGGCAGATGATTTCCACATTACTCTCTCTCTACTTTAATCACATTCAATATTTTGACACCAGACCCACCATTATTATTTGAGATTTTATCTCTGGGGTCTTATTTCCTTCTGTATATCTCAAATATTTCTCTTAATAATTGGAAAAGACCATCCATGTAATCCAATATTACTTCCCCCATCAAGATATTTAATTCCATATGCAAAGATTCTCTTTCTTTATAGAGGATCTTTCTTTATTCCTGGGTATATGCTGGAATTAATAAAGCAGTTGCTAGTATGATGTCACAGAATCTTTGCAAAGCCAATGCTTAGCCAACTAGAACTATGTAACCAAGTTTGGAATTCCTGGAGACATCTCAGTGGAGATTACAAGTAATTTATTAGTTGGTGACTAAGAAATGGAAGAACAAAGGGAAAATTGCTTTCATCATTTCTGTGTAAGTTAGATAGCACTGTCCTGTAGGACTGTCCTCCCGTTGTTCATCGATTTGCTCAAGCAGGAGCCAGTAACGTCTCCATTGTGAGACTTGTTGTTACTGTTTTTGGCATATCAAATATGATGCCAGGGGAGCTTGCCAGGCTCTGCCGTGCAGGCAGCATACTCTAGGTAGCTTGCGTGGCTCTCCAAGAGGGATGAAAGAATCAAACCCTGGCGGCTGGCCGCTTGCAAGGCAAACAACCTACCCACTGTGCTATTGCTCACATATTATTTTGGAATAGGCAAACAATTTTAATTCACATCACTAGAAATGAGGAGCTTTAAAGAACTCTTCCATATTAGATTTAGAACCTTGAAAAGAATCCATAACATTGGCATGGATTAACCAACTGAATGATGTATTCTATGCATTCAGCGCTATTCTATCAGTTTACAGAGGCATTTTGTGCTACAAATAGCCAACTAAGAGTTATAGATTTGTTTGTGAACAAAAATCAAGGCAGAACTTTCCTCCATTTACTTTGAATACCTTAGTTTCTACATAGCAACCCTCTCCCCCAACTTGGAAGATCACATCTATTTAGTTTTGCTTTGAGAAGAGTACTGTTTATGTAAATATTAATGAAAAATACTTCTTAGTGTTTTTGTCAAAATAGTTTGTCTTTAAAAAGATGCAACCTCTTGGCTCTAAATAAAATGTTCTGTTATTTCTGTCTTGAATGCCAATCAAGATAATACTGCCAAAAACATTTTATCTGGAAATAGAACTTCTGAGGATTTGGACGTTAATAGATCTGTAATAATTTCTAAAATATTCAGACTATATAAGAAAAAAAGTGAAAGATGTGTTAATGAAGAAAATTATTTTGTAGCCAGCTGCCAACTAGGACCACTATTATCAATGGGACATTTAACAGAAGGGATCAGTTCCAGGAAGACTGTGTGGCTCAGAGATCTGAAGAATACTGGACGTGTGTGGCCTGCACACTAATAAACACCCCTTCTTCTAGAACATGCGATGCTTGCCTGACATGCAGGCCTATTGGTAAGATGGAATTGTGGCATTAATGTTTCATTCTACTGGGGGCTAATTATAGAGACGGGCATATATCTTGTTCCATCTTGATATATTTCATAACTTTCCAGGATCCTGAAAAGAATTGCCAGGCTGTTCATGTAAACCATGCTAATATTCTGTTGGATATATACATATATATATATTTTTTTTAACAAGGAGGGAAAACATGCTTGAGCTAAAAGAGTGTGTGCCTTTGTATCTCAAAAACTGAGATGATCACATCTGTTCTCCACTGTTTCTAATGAATTATTCAATAAAAGCTTTGTTTTATGCAGATTTCAGCAACTTTTGAGTTTGTTATTCAGTCCAAGCATCTCATAAATTGAAAGGGAGAATTTCAGTAAGAATATCTTTGCAGGTGGAATAGAAAAATGCTGATTTTTTTCCCCTCTTCTTTATCCTTCCTACCCCTTGTTATTAAAATCTTTACTCAGACAATTGTACTGATTTCATTGAAATCCTTCAAAATAACTCTTCAGAGCTCACAATTTCATGCGTTCAGAGAATGTAAAACTTCAGAGGAAACCTGTGATTAAGAACTGGTTCATTGATGCCGCTTCTATTGTATTCTCAAAGTGTTAGTTTTTTCCTCCAATTAGAGATGAGGAGGTTCATTCTTGACTTATGGACCTCCACATTGTGTTCGCTGTCAGATTGTGTTTTGTTCTCTGGGCCAGAAAGGCAGGCCCCTTCCTTTCTCTCGGTGGCCGAAAGGACTGTGTCTCCTTTTGGTGTCCCTCAGTCTACAATCTCATTCATCAGAGAATCCTCAGAAAACCACATCTTAGGATCACACATGCATTTCAATGTACTTCTGTGCTCTTCCTACACACCTCATTAGTGTTTTTCCCTTTGTCTGAAAGACATATATCTGAGTTATAACTTAGAGTGTTGCAACGCAGAATCGAAAATACTGTACTTTGAAGCATATTGGCTAAACATTGCCTTTGTAACTCATCTTATTTTAGATCAGCCTTTTATTTTTGTCATGATATCCTTATAAATGCCCGTTATTTTCTAGATAGACCCCTAACTGTAATCTAGGACTTTGTGACTTATCTGTCACCTTTAATGAACATCACTTCAATATTTTGCCTCAATATTCAATATTAGTAACAAAATTGATGACTGAATGAACTAAATGCTTAAACATAATATAAGGAAAGTGAAGATCTGTGTCCCGACTTCCTTTGAATAGTTGAAAATTAACACTTATATAGTACTTTATTTCCTAACTGAAACAGAACTTTTTATTTTTCTTTTTGGGTCACACCCAGTGATGCTCAGGGGTTACTTCTGGCTCTGCACTCAGGAATCACTCCTGGCAGTGCTCAGGGGACCATATAGGATGCTGGGAATCGAACCCGGGTTGACCACATGCAAGGCAAATGCCCTAATCAGTGTGCTATCAATCCAGCCCTCCAAAACATAGCTTGTAATTACTCGTGTTAACTTTATGTTTCCAGTCCATATTTATTTGAACTGAAATAATATTATATTAATAATTTAATCTTAAATGTTTTAAACAAATTGAAAAGATGTTTCAAATAATATTTTATAGGAAAAACTGCAGAATCACTTCTCTCTACTTGCAGATTCAATACTCAAGAATGAAGAAAACTCTGTTCCTTTTTCTAATTTAATAAAGTATCCTAGTAATAACTTTGGAAAACCAAGTACAGAAGTGAAAATCAACAGGAGAACTGCATTTGGAACCACGACCCTAGTGTTAACCGATTTTAGCAATAAATCCAATACACTGGAAAGAAAAAAGAGCCAAAACACTAGGCTGAATGCAGAATGTCAGTCTTCTTGTATTAATGCTGGTTTATGTGACCTGCCACTCACCTCCAAGGAGAGAACAAGCTCTAGAACTCAACTATCTAACAAAGTAAATGCATCACCCATAGTTTGCTTTCAGTCTAAATCACTTAATCCAGCATATAAAAGATTGAAAACAACCCATGACTCTTCTCCAGATCTCCCCAGCTCTTACTCTGGACATTCTCAAAGGTAAGATGTAACTTCCTATCTTCATCTTTAAGTTGCTGGCATTCAGTTTTAAAACAATAGAAAGATTATCCACTGACTAAAGAAGTTGAATTGCTTTTGGTACTGCTTAGAGACTATAGAGAGTTTCATCGGGAGGAGAATAAAAACAGTGATGCCTACATCTGCTAAAATAAGAAAAGCATTTGGTTTTGTTGTTTTACTCTCCCTGCAAACATGCTGCATAGACTATATTTGGAAAATACTAGAAAGCACAACTTTAAAATGCATGTGTTCTCTTTTATCTTATCCTCTGTCAATCACCACAGTTAATTTTTTAAAAAATATTTCCTTCTAATGAGAGATAGCTTTCTTGAAGGGACACTATTATTCGCAAAAGTTGACTGTGTCTACTCTTCTCGAGAGGGCTCAATGGACGGATCACTTATGCTAAGCCAAGTGGCTATTTCTCAGCCATATTGGGATGATGGGGTTTTTTGGGGAGGAGGGGGTATGGAGGAATAGTTGGCCATTCCTGCCAGTGCTTAGGGCTTACTTCTGGCTCTGTGCTCAGGGATCACTCCTGGTGGGGCTCATATATGGTGCTCGGGGTCGAACCCCAGTTGGCAGCATGCAAAGGGAAGAGCCTTAATTCCTGTTTCATCTCTCTAGCCCAGTGTTCTGTGTTTTAACTAAGAAGGCCTAAAGCATATGCCTGCTACTTTTGAATATGAAATGAAAAACATATTTCTACAACCAATAAAAAAAAATCAGGCCAGATTTGGACCAGAGAGATAGCACAGAGGGTAAGGTGTTTGCCTTGCAGGCAGCCAATCCAGGTTCTATCCTTGGCAGCCCAGGAGTGATCCATGAGTGCAGAACCAGGAGGAAGTCCTGAGCTTCACTGGGTGTGGCCCCTAAACAATGAATCACGAATCACGACTATCCTGTTATTCTTCGATTGCCTCGAGCAGGCCCCAGTAACGTCTCCTTCATCCTAGCCCTGAGATTTTTAAGAAAGTGCTATATTCAAAGCTCTTTATGAGAATGAGACCTGTCATTATTACTGGTATTTGGCATATTGGGTACGCCACAGGGAGTTTGCCAGACTCTGCCGTGTGGGCAGGTTACATTCGGTAGCCTGCCAGTTTGTCCAGAATGACATAATAAGATGTCGCGCGGCCGCAAATGTGACCCCACGCTTCCGGGAGCTGGTTTTTATAGTCTTTGAGTCTTGGCCGTTGATGGGATTAGTTGATGGGATTACACGGCGCCAGGGGGCCAGTTGGTGGGTGTGACAACAATAACAAAAAATCATCAACAACGATGTTTCCATAATACTAACTTACCCCATCTAGGAGAAGACTCCCATTAGCAGGCACCATAGAGAAATTTTCATAAATAGAATCCTTCATGGTTACTGGCTGGTCTTGAAGTTATCTGTCCAAACAAGCTTATTTGTTTGTTGACCCTTTTATCTAGGCTTTTTATTAAGGCCTGATATGGTGCTTCAATCAGAGATCCATTAAACACAATTTTCTTTTCTAAGCCTCCCCACCCACCAGCCCTCCAAGAACAGGTACTACATTTTAGAATAGTAAAGGTGTCATGTATTTTGATACCCATAGGAGGCAAGCAGAGATACGGTTCCTGTGGATGGGATGTAAGGTAATCTCAGGAAGGATTCTCATCGCTACATTTCCCTCTGATTACCTCTGCCTTTCTAATGGAAAGATTAGTTTCTCTAGGCAGTAGAGGAGAGACTACTCGGCAGACAATTTTACACAAATGTCTTGGAATCTCAAAGTTCACAGTTGTCCCTTGAGCAGTGCAAACTGACTCAGAGTATTAGCTTTCCCCCCAAACCACCCCAATGGGCAAAAATCTTTAACTATATAAAAAATCTATAACTTTTTTACTCCTCCTAAAACTTAATTTAGCAATCTACTGTTGATTTGCTCTTACATAACATAAAGAGCTGATTAACATTCATTTGGTGTGTTAGATGTTTTTGCTGGTATTGTACAATAAAGTATGCCAGAGAAAAATTGTATTAAACTTCACAGTTACAGACCTCTCGTTATTCATCGATTTGCTCAAGCGGGCCCAGTAACATCTCCATCGTGAGACTTGTTGTTACTGTGTTTGGCATATCAAATGCGTCATGGGTAGCTTGCCAGGCTTTGCCGTGCGGGCGAGATACTCTGGGGAGCTTGCTGGGCTCTCCGAGAGGGGCAGAGGTATCGAACTCCGGTCAGCCATGTTGGCTGCGTGCAAGGCAAGCACCCTACTGGCTGTGCTATCACTCCAGCCCTTATTTGAGAAAGAAATATGCATGTATTACATTTTATCAATAATGCAAATTTATATCATCTATGTGCCAGATGGGTCATCTGTCACTACCTCAGTATTGTTTTGTCTTACCTGATACAAAACACTAGATATTCTACATTTAGTTACATCCATCAAAAGGAAATTCATGCTGATTTACAGGTTAAAGTTTCATGCGTTGATAACATTGACTGAAAAATGTCCATACTACAAAAACACATTCCAGGGTCAACTATATGTCATACTAGAACAATGAGATGGTTTTTGATCAACAGATGCATTTAACTTTATTTTATTTTAAGTCTAAATTTAACATCCTTTCATCTTGATGCTTTATCCCTGAATGCTTATTTAAAGTCTTTATGATCATTTTGAATAGCTTGACTTTCATTCATAGTATTCCCAAATGACAGATATTTGAGTTAAGCTATGGGACTAAGTCTCAACTGTCTAGATCATTGCACCACCCTCTCATTTTAACCCTAATTAATGTCTCATGATAAAAGTTCCTGAAGGAGCTAGCTGAGAGTATCTGATTTAGGATGCTCTCCTGTTCTTAAACAATTGTTTGGCCTGCTGGAGCTAAGTGAAAAGAAATATATGTGATCATTTAAAAATATTGTGATACTCGTTGTACCCAGATGAAATATCTTGACATGTTTATTCCCTCATTGCTGATAGAAAACCTCAGACAATTTTACTAATAAATCAGAGATTTAAAAGAACATTAACATAGTCTTATATTTAAATTATTTCTTCATAAGTCGTTAGTAATAGGGTCATATGATTAATCACTATGGCCAGCATTACTTAGAATTGCTGCCATGTGTTACGTGTCGAATGTAAGAACACCAAGACTAAGTCTGCACCATCCATCAAGATCAACTAGCAGAATAAATGTCAAGTGATGAAATAAATTCACCCAGCAGCCTTCCTGCACCCAGCTACTTTACAAGGAATAAATTGCAAATTACTGTCATTTATTTCATTTTTCTCCTTGTCTGGCAGCCTATAGTGTTCATCTTGTGGACAAGATGCTGAGCAGAAGCTCACAACATAATACGATTAAAGCAGGTGGTCCACTCAGAGAATTTAGAGCCAGCTTATTTTGTCTTTAATAATTATATGGTAATTAATTCGCCTTTTGTTCTGTTAATTACCGATCTCATCCCCACATGATACATGCTATGTTGATGAGGCATATTTTCGGATTGCTCTTTAGAAATATGTACTTGAATTTTATCCAGCTACTGGATTATAAATTAGATGGTTGAACCAATTTATAAGCAGTTACGAATCAGCGCTAGAAACAGTTTCTAGTCTGTGTCGCAATTATTGTAAATAGAGAGCAAAACACAGTGATCCATTTTCCAAGAGTACATAGCTTAGGTTGATATTTTTCCCGAGCTGATTGGCAAAGACTTACAGAGTGGAGTGAAATGAAAGTAACAAAGTTATTAATGTTTTCTTATGTTTTCCACTGTCAGGGGTGCCAACGATCTACCTCCAATTACCAGTCCATGTCCTGGATTCATAGGCACACTCCACCTCACCTGTTGGAGTTTTCAGTCCTCCAGAATTTCAAACCTTTGAACATGAGTCATTGAAGCTCTGCATTAATTCCTTAAGTATGCTGAATGTACATAAATTTACATTCAGATTGATCAGTTCCTCCCAAATTTAGACTGAATTTGCATTATAATAGATCACTCAATCTATAAAATTATTTCACCCATGACAGTTGAAGAAGAGATCTTCTAAAATTCTTACCCCATGCTTAATAATTTCCTCTTTGAAGGATCTTTATTACTTTCATTGGTTTCCTAATCAAGGTGGCTTGCCTATCTGTTAATAGGTATTTATTGAGAACCATGAATCATCAAGCATTTGCTGTAAATTTGAATGACTGCTACCTTAGCAAACTATACCAGCAGAGCCAGATCCAGGCCTGCAACAGTTTTTGTAGCTGGATATTGAAACTTGTCCATTCCTGCTTGTTTACATATTTGCCATGGCTGCTTCTCATCCTATGACAGTGAAGTTGAAGTAGTTGCAGCACAGACCTAAAATCTGAACTTCCGGGGGAAGATTTGCCACCCACCAAATCTATTTGTATTAAGAGACCATGTAAGATTCAGTTTTAATCTTCAAAACAATGATTGGGCCGAAGTAGTAATACAGCCGGTAGGACATTTGCATTATATGCCTCCTGGGTTCAATCCCCCGCATCCCAAATGGTCCCCAAGCACCACCAGGAATACTTCCAGAGTGCAGAGCCAGAAGTAACTCTTGAGCATTGCCAGGTGTGCCCCCCAAAAAACAGAAGAAGATGAAAACAAACAAACAAACACTGTCCTCCCATTGTTCATTGATTTGCTTGAGCGGGCCCAGTAACATCTCCATTGTGAAACTTTCTTGTTACTGTGTTTGGCATATTGAATACTCTCGGTAGCTTGCCAGGCTCTCCGAGAGGGGCGGAGGAATCGAACCTGGCTCAGCCAAGCTGACTCTGCACAAGGCAAACGCCCTACCGCTGTGCTATCACTCCAACCCAAGAAGAAGATGGTCTTAATTTAATCTAAATGATTCTTCATCTTGTTTACCTTACAAAGTGTTCTGCTGAATTTTCGAAAGTTTTAAAATAATGATTGAAACAAAGAGGAACCAAGATGCTCTCAATTAATCAGAATATTTAATTATCCCACCTACTGTTGGTGCTGAGCAGATTGAGTTGAGCTGCGCATATTTAGCACGGGTAGCTGTACCTCTCTCAGGGGCAGCAGTTTCCTGGTTACAGAAACTCAGGGTTTGGCAATGTAATGTGCTCTGGACTCACCTGGGAATCTGTGAACATGCAGATTGTGATTCTGAGGGCGCTCTGGGGGAGCACAGGCTAAATATGCATTTCTACGTTTCTCCCTGGCTGAGCTGCCCCTTCTGGGCAGTGGCTCACGCTGAGAGAAATCAGCGAGCAAATGGCTGCTTTGCCGTCTAATTTGATACAGGGAAGAAGAAGGATGGAAAACAGAACTAGGTAGGGGTGTGGGCTGGGGCCGGGGACCATTCCTTTCCACCCTCAAATCCCCGCCTCCCACACACACACACTTGCTTTACTGGCAGGGGAATCTGAACCTCTCCCTACATATGTGGACCCAGGAGATTCCTAGGTGGAAGCAATTGGTTAGAAAATGTTGATAATTCTTAGCTAAGACAGCTACCTTCAAAGTATTATCTTAAACGATGTATCAATACATTTTTTTAAAATCTTTATATTTTTTCTTGCTCCTTTAATACGTTTTTGAAGAGTGCTACTTATTCTCCCCCCTTTCCCCCGCCCAACCTCCTTGGTTTAAAAAAGTAAAAGGTAAAGGCCCTCCCGTCGATTTGCTCGAGCGGGCCCAGTAACGTCTCCATTGGAGACTTTGTTGTTACTGTGTCTGGCATATCGAATACTCTCGGTAGCTTGCCAGGCTCTCCGAGAGGGGCGGAGGAATCGAACTTGGGTCGGCCATGTTGGCCGCGTGTAAGGCAAACGCCCTACCCGCTGTGCTATCGCTCCAGCACAAGGAGGAAATTAAACCTCCTTGGTTTAATTTTGGAATTTCCTGTCTGTCCTATAAACATCTAGATATTTAAACTCGAGTTAAAGCTTTCAGTATTCCCTCAATTGGAGTTGAATTGGTGAAATGGTATCTTTGCAAAGAAATGCCTAGTTTCCCTCTTTGGTATTAGTATCTGTGGATTGTGAAATATAAGCCCTTGACCTTGAAGAAAAGTAAAACCACTATCAATGAAATAGTTGCAGGTATGCACACCCTTGCTGTAGGTACAACTTCAAAAGCCACCCTCAAAATGTGTGAGTCCATGAGCATCACTAGCAGCTGGTGTCTGCTTATAAGTGAGTTTAAACTCTCTTCACAAATAAAAGATCTCATGTGCTACAATTATATTTCACTTAAATTTAAAGAACAGTTCCCTTAGAATAGGAACAAATGCATGAACAATGAGACTCAGGAAGCAGAGAAAAGGGGCTGCCACGAGTTTATGAATTATAAGGTTATTTTTTGAAAAATACTTAAGAATGTGTTATTCTTTCTTGGAAATTAACAAAATAAATGAGAAGGGATGAACATCTTGTATCATTAAGAAAGCAACAAATGGGGCAGGAGTGATAGTACAGTGATAGGGGGTTTGCCTTGCAGGCTGCTGACCCACCTCAATCCCCCAAGTCCTGCCAAGAGTGAACCCTGCGCACGGGGCCAGGAGGAAGCCCTGAGCACTGCCAGGCATAGCCAGAAGAAATCAACAAAACAAATCATCAAGTATGGACCCAGATTTTTTAATATGAACACTTTCTCATCAACTGTTCCTTGTTTCAAATTAAGCCCAAGAAAGGCATCCTTGCCTAATATAAAAAATTAAAAAGTAATCATGAGGCTCCTTTCAAAGAGAAAATGGAGCTTCTTCAGCTATAGGGGCAGTCTCTGACCTCAGTGCCAAGTGTGTGGGTACTCTTGCTCTTGCTCTTAATCAAGGAGAACCAAACTCCCCTATCAGCGTTACAAAACGGGCGTTTCTGCTGTGCCAGGCAGCCTGCACCTTGCTGGAATCTGATTGCAGCGATTACCGTCTATGCTTTTGATCAAAGCATAGGAAATTGTCTTTAAAGTAGAAATCTGATCTCTCTGGCCCTGTCAGAGACACCGATGGGACTTGCCTACCTATGAGAAAATAATTAGGAAAAAAATATGCTGACTCTAGTTACTGCAAGGGGCCAGAGCGTTGCTGGACTAGGGCTCAGTAAGAGGAATCCATCCTGAAGAATTGGATAAGAGAAGACCCAGCATCCCCAGTGAAAACTCAAGAAATCTGGATGGAGAGCATGCACATTGTAGATGTGTTTGCTATTCTCCAGAAAAATGCTTGCATTTGGTTCTGAGGTAGCTTGGTGGATTCATTTAGATTTACTTGGCAAACCTAGAATTGGAAAGACTTGGAAGTTGGTGTGACGTTCTAAAATTGATCCTGGTCCCCTGCATGGTACAGTTTCTATGGACTGGGGCTATGCTAATGGGGCAAAGAGGTGAGAATGATCCTTTTAGCATCATTGTGCTGTTGCGATTTTGTCACCTGTCTTTGCAGTGAACTTCAAGCGACTGTGACAGATGGTCCTTGTACATTAAATGCCGGCACTCCGCGCTGCAGTAAACATAACCGCCTCTGTGTTCTCCGTGTTGTGAAAAAGGATGGAGAAAACAAGGGCAGGCAGTTTTATGCCTGTCCTCTACCTGGAGAAGCACAGTGTGGATTTTTTAAAGTAGGTATAAGATCTATCAAGCTTACTGTAGTGTAATTGAATACTACAGCTATTACATTTAACAGATAGTCATGTCTTTCCAGTTTTGCCTTTCAAAAGCCTGAATGTTGAATAACTGAAAATTCAAAGAGGTCTGGGGGATGAAAGGAATCAAATAATAGCCAATTGATTATGAAGACGCTGTTGTATTCAGAGCCACAAGCAGAAAAGTATTGTGCTTAGTTCATGAAGATAGAAAGAGATTGGATGGATGACGTCCCCAGATGACTAATAATGTAGGATGAAAATGAGGCATTCCTAATTCATTGCAACATCTAAACTTTTGGTTTTAGGCCCTGGATGGAGGGGCATGAGAAAATAATTTATATGCCTCAGATTTACAATTAACTTAGCATATGTCACTACATAAGCTTGACTTTTTAAAAAAGTGATTGCATGATAAATGTTTAGATATAGTCAGTTCTCCTTCTCTTTCCATCTGTGTCTGTGTCCTGAAAATGAACTTGAGGAAAGAGATGAAAATTTGGAATTCTTTAAGTCAATGTCTCTGCATTTCTCACACACTGAGCATTTCACTAGCTGAGTGTGATTCTAATGTTGAGAGAGAAATACTCTTCCAAAGGCTTTATCTGGCACATAACTGAAAAATGGAAGTTGTGATTTGATATAATACTGGGGTAAACTTATTTGGGTTGGGTTTCTTGAAAGATAAAACATCTGTCTTCAGTGTGGTACCTTCCTAAGGAATTTTAGAGGAGAATTTTAGATCTTAATCCCATGTACAATAGGTGAAGCCATCCCATTAATTTCCTCTTTAAAAAGGTTTTATAGATGTACAAAGAAAATATCATTATCTTAATAACATCACAGTCTGCTCCATGCTTCTCTTAAGGTCAATATTAACAATAATACAATGGAACCCAACTAAATTAGTCGTAGTAGTTCTGTAATGGGTTCTCCTTTTCCTAAGGATGTTTGCTGCTTAAATTGTGACACATCTTTGACCTTCACAGCTCTAATTAACACAGACTTATAACAGGGATATTGGCAGTTGCTTTCCAGCAAGGTTGTATAGTTTTCAGTTATTCTCAATAAAGTGGAAGGACTCTATAAATATGTCAGTAGTCAAAGAGGTACGGAGAATGATAGTGATGCTCCGTGTGAGTCAAGCAAATCTGTAGAAGATAGTTCTTACAGACTGTTCTCAAGGCCAACAGCCAAAGACTTATGCAGTGCCATCTTGACTGTGAGGGCAGTGAAGACTGGAGCAGTAACCAAGTCCACATAGATTTAGCTGCTACTGTTCTTAATTCTTATTTCCAATTGACAGCCTTTCTTTTCCCTTGGTAGTGGGCAGATTTGTCCTTCCCATTCTGCAACCATGGCAAACGCTCCATCATGAGAACCGTGTTGAAGATTGGACCTAATAATGGAAGGAAATTCTTTGTGTGTCCCCTTGGAAGGGAAAAACAGTGTAATTTTTTCCAGTGGGCAGAGAATAGGCCAGGAATCAAAATTCTTCCAGGATGCTAATATTTTCCCCTTCAGTGGAATATCTGGCATTTTAATCTCTTCAAGTTGTATACAATGTTTAAACCCACCTTGTGGAATTGAATGGCTTAAGAATAACTATGGTTCATTGTGGAGTTATTGTAATATTTGAGAACTATTCAATTTTTCATTGAGTACCACTTTACATTCTATGGCAACATATGATTTTTATCTTAGGGATGCTACTTGTGTATCATCAAATATACAGTATATTCTGTTTAAAATATGTACTTAATGCGCTTAGTTTTACAATAAAGTGTTTTTATCTCTTAAACATGTATCTTCTCTGGGAAAAGTGTTTTTTTTTAAGAAGAGGATTATGCAATATAAAAAGATAGTATTCTGTCAGTAATGAATAATTCTCCCAAATATTAACTGTCACTGTCACTGTCCTCCTGTTGTTCATTGATTTTCTCGAGCAGGGCCCAGTAACGTCTCCATTGTGAGACTTGTTACTGTGCTTGGCATATCGAATACGTCACAGGTAGCTTGCTAGGCTTTGCCGTGCAGGCCAAATACTCTGGGTAGCTTGCTGGCCTCTCCAAGAGGAGTGGAGGAATTGAACCCGGCTTGACCGGGCTGGCGGCTTGCAAGGCAAATGCCCTACCACTGTGCTATCGCTCCAACCCTCCCAAATATTCATAATATATAAACAAGGATACTTCTTTTCTTAACTGAATTTCAGAAATGAGATCTCCTCATGAAAAAGAATGTTTTCTTTATTCAGTAAGCAAACAGCAAGTTACTGTTAGATGCTGTTAGTGATCTGCCAATCCAAACACTTTGATGCTTTCTATGAAAGTGTATTTTCATGAGAAACTCTAGAGTTTCAGAATATAAAAAGTAACATTTAACAACAAAAGTTGTCTGTCAAAAAGAAGTTGATTTGAATATTTCTAATCTTGATGTTAAAATCTTCATTTTTAAAAATTACTTCATTTCAAAATATTATTTAGCCTTTTCATTTTCATTTCTACTCCTTTGGTCTTTGGGTGGAGGGTCTTTGGGCCATCCCCAGCCTTGCCCAGGTGCTACTCATGGTTCTTTGTTCAAGTTTCATTCCTGAAGGTGCTCTGGGAATTCTGTTTGGAGGCAGGGGATTGAACCAGGGTTGGCCTCATGCAGAACATGTGCTTTACCCCTATACTATCTCTCCAGGCCCTCATTTCTAGTTTTCATGTAGTACTTCTCTTTTTTCAAAGTTTACTGTTGGGGTAGGGGAGGGGTCTCGAAAGCAGTGCTCATTAGACCCAGGGCCACTCCCATTAATTCATGGCCAACTGGCCTGGTGACTCAATAACAAGTGTCCTCGCTCCTTCAGATTGTATTTTGGGGGGGTTTTGAGATATAACACATGTTAGCTCGGTATTCTGGTTGGTGGTTTTTATAGTAGGAGACTGTATATCACGCTTAGGTTTGTGTTAGCATGGATTTGTTTTCTTGAGGTCGGGTGTATTATATTTTTTGACTTTTTTTGGGTCACAACCAGTGATGCTCAGGGGTTACTCGTGGCTCTGCACTCAGGAATGACTCCTGGAGGTGCTCAGGGGACCATCCGGATGCCTAGGATCCAACCACGTTGGCTGTGTGCAAGGCAAATGCCCTCTGCACTATGCTATAGTTCCAGTCCTAGAGAGCAGGTTTTTATTGTTCCATATTAAAAGTATTGATACCACTACAGAACATGGGGAGGCTGTTGTCCTTCAGAGCACACCTCTGTTCGCTGAGCTGCACTTCTGGGTTGTCTGCTTGGATTCATCTCTTTGGAGTTGATTTACCTTTTGGTACATCACACCAATACCATCACAAGATAAAATATTTTCAGGGTGGGGCAGAACAGAATGGACAAGAAGTAAAATAAGGAAGATAATGATTTTAAGGTTTTTTTTGTTCATTGGAGTCTAAAAGTGTAACAGCTGAAGCATTTTACATACACCAATCTTCCTGACTACCCAAAAAAATAGATTGAGTTATTATTGCTGATTTTTCATCTTAGAAAACATGACTTTTTGTAAGTTAAATATGGTCTTTCTGTTGATTCAATAAAAATGGCTGGGCCAGAGAGATAGTACAACAGGTAGGGCACTTGCCTTGCATGGGACTGACCCAGGTTCAATCTCTGACATCTGAGTTTAATCCCTAGCACCAAATATGATCCTTCAAGCCCCACCAGGAGTGATCCCTGAGCACTGGCAGGTGTGACCCCCTCAAATAAATAAATAAATGACAATGGTTGTACCCAAAAATGCATGCCTTTTACATATATAAATATATTTAACATCCATAAGTGAAAATAGGTGTGACATGGTAATACTCTGCTTGTATTATTTTCCCTTAAGTTTGTCATATTAAATTTGCAATGTTGTTTTCTATTAATGTATTTTAAATTTGCATTGTTTTTACTGTTTAATTTTATTTAAACTTTTATCAACCCATTACTTTTATGTGCTTTCTAAAGGTAATGATCACTGCATTTTCAAGGTCTCCTGTCTGTAGCAATTTAACTGCTATACGAAATGCAAAAACAATTGTTCCAATGAGCTTACTCAAAGAAGAAACTTTATTTTTATTTTTGTATCCGTATAGCACTCTACCTCTTGGAGAGCTTATGCCACAGTCACTACCTTATTTGTCCTATTTGCATTTCCTGATGTTAACCTTCTTAAAGTATTCACAGAAAACTTTGAGTATTGTATATAATTCTTTATTTTTCACAGAATCTTACCAGATATTATGCCTTGTACACAGAGTAGAACCTCGGTAAATATCTGTTGGATTTAGTAGATGAAGGCTTAATATAAAGTCAATCTATTGAACATTTTTAACCTTGTTAATACCATTCAAACATGAATGCACTTAAATGCCACTGAAAAGAATGTTACTGGCTTATTACAGACAGAAGAGGAAGAAATTCCTCAGTGTCTAAAAGCTGTTACATCTTTCTGGCAATTTAAATGGAAATCTTTGGGGGTTGGGTTGACATTTTATAGAAATTTGCTTACAAATGAATAGGACAAAACTAATTGGATCAAATGGTGCTCATTCACTGAAAAAGAAAGAAAACATAAAAATAACCACCTGTATAAATGCACTGTACGTAAGAACATGTAGAGATTTGTTTTTAAAGAGTAACTGCTTCTCACAATGCCGATGAGTTTGAGTCTTTAATTTTACAGGGAACAAAGTCTAAAAGGCTAAAATAATTTCTTTGTTTTTAATTCAATTTACCTCTTTTGAATATGCTATGTGAAAAAATGCCATGATATGTTTTTGTAACAAGAATATGACCAATACATAGTGAGGTTAAGAAAAATGAGAATAAGAAACCTGTCTCAGTACCTGTATTGCAAACCATAATGCCCCAAAGCAGAGAGAGACAGAGACAGGGAGACAGGCAGAGCAGGAGAGTGTCTGTGATAAAGATAGGATGGGGAGGGTTGTGGAAGGTAAACTGGAGTCACTGATGGTGGGAAATGTATACTGGTGGAAGGATGGGCGTTGGAATACTGAATGACTGAAACCCGGTCATGATCAACTTTGTAACTCTATCTCATGGAGACTCAATAAAAGAAATAACAAAAATTATTTTTAAAGAATATATAAGAAGTATATAGAGAACATAAAAAAATAATAAAATTCATGCAGCCCATACTGTTTAAAAAGAAATGAGAATAAGAGAGCAATAAGCAAAGTAAGGAGTAAGGAATAAGGAATGTGAGGAAGCTCATACCTGAATCCTGAGTAAGAAGACTTGCAGGAAAGACAGCAGTTGAAATTTCACCTGACAAAGATTTGCATCTCGAAGAAAGCATTTCAGGCATTAGGCAAAGTATAAAGGAAGATATCTAAAATGAGTGGATTATATAGCAAGCAGTCTAGTTAACAAGATCCCTGGAAAATGCAGAGGAGAAATAGTGAATATTTCTGAGTCATTGTTCCATGTGTTCCTAAGATCAGCCAGTTCTACATTCCAAAGATATAAAAGTAAAGACACACTTGTTTCTTAAGGAATCCATGGGTCAATAAGTTAGCAATGCACACTGAGATCTTTGCTAGATTAATGTTGCAGACGGGGAACTTTCTGGACAAAAGAAAAAAAATGTCTGGTTTTGGAAATATATTGGGTTATGGCATGCATTGGGTTTTTTAATTCAGATTCTGGAATAAGTTGAGTTTTTGATTTTGTTTTTTTGTTTGTTTCTGGGTCACATCTGGTGGTTCTTGAGGATTACTCCTGGCTCAGAATGAAGCAATTGCTCTGAGCAGCCTCAGAGGACTATATAAAATGCCAGGATTGAATCCTGGTCTGCCAGGTGCAAGGCAAGCACCCTACCCACTGTGCCATTGTTCTGGCCCAAAGTTGAGTTTTGGAATCAGACTGCTAGATCTAACTTTATTAATCCTTCTTACCTTGCTCTTAACATGTGACCTTGGGTAGGGATATTTCCTGGGTGTGGCAGTTGTTTTCTGTGTCTTAGTTACTTCATCTGTTGGATGGTGATATTAATAATACCAACTCACTGCCCTGTTAGAAGACTGAAGTGCTATTACGTATGGATTAGCACAATTCCTGCCAGTTAAATCACTTGAGCTAAATTTTATGATACTTATTAATAATACTTCATTCCCACTATTCTCACAGCTATTGGAGGAGGATTCAAAGAAATAACAATAGCAGCAACCATAATTTCGAATTTCCCCAAGAAGAGACTGTGCTTAGAGGTAGTGGTAAAAGAGAAGTACAGACAGATGTAGGATGAATGCCAAAGTATAGGAGAACAGAAGGACTTCCAGAATCTGGGTTAGATGGAATTATTAGAAAGAAAAGAGCTAGGGGGCTATGGCTTCAGTAATACAAACAGTTTAGAAATAGGAAACTTAAAAGTCACAGTTTAAATACACAAAAAATTGGTAGATTCAAAATTTCAGAGTTATTTACACATTACATTAACATTATAGATAGGAACCATATACCAACAATC